CGTTCAGGGCTTTTATGAGCATTTCAAATACAATAACCCATGGAGGGCATGGGCTAGCTGCCAACAAGCACTATGGGGACTTTACAGACTTCTCTACACTGGGCTGTTCCTGCCTTGCCTCTGCCCTGGGGGGTAGCTCAGTATAGGCTGCTGGGGGCAGAGTGGCCAGGCAGCCACGGGAGGTTGGAGGCAAAAGGGCAGATTGCAGGGACACACCTTAGACTGCCTAAGAACTCTTCGTTCTGCACTCCCTTGCAGGACACTTCGGGCTTTGCCCAGCACCCAGGGAAGCCATACTTGGACTGGGGGCCCCCATCGGGCCTTAAGACTAGGAGCCAGGAGACCTGGATTCGAGTCCTGACTGCACTACCACTTTAGGCCTCTCCTAAATCTGTACAATGAGGCAGACGTGCCCTCTGCCTACCTCCGAGGTCTGCGATAAGCTCCACTGTGTCTCAGGGTAAAAATTTCCAGAGGAGGAACACTCATTCCAGGGCTTTTTAAGGCAAAATCCACATTTCTCTCCTTAGCCTGTGGCTTGAAAGCTGCCCAGGTGCTGCTGGAAGGGAACCCTGTACTCCAGCCTTGAGAGACACTATAGCTGAGCAGTTAAGTGAGCTCTGCAGTCAAAGGATTCAAATTTGTGACCCTGGGCTTTAACTCTGTTTTTGCATCTGTAAAGTGGAGATAAATCGACCCTTTAGGAAGACTGGAAGGATTGAATGAGATAACACATGTACAGTTCTTACCACACAGAAAGCACTTCTTATTCTAGTCTCTACTGTGCAACCGACTTGCTGTGGCATGCCTGTCCCTTTGCGTATGTCCATGCAAAGCCTTGGAAAGTTCTACTTTTCTTCCTTTTCCCACAGCCAGCCTGAGTTGTTCATTGAGCTCCTTATACCCTGCCTCTCTGCTCCATACGCATAACCTTCCCTCTGCTCTCAGGTGTGGGTTTTGCTACCAGGCAGGTGGCCAATATGACCAAGCCTACTACAATCATCGAAGTAAATGGGGACACCATCACCATAAAAACCCAAAGCACCTTCAAGAATACGGAGGTCAGCTTCAAGCTAGGGGTGGAGTTTGATGAGACGACAGCAGATGACAGGAAGGTGAAGGTGAGTAAAAGGAGGGGACATGGGGAAATGCGAATTGTGAGACCCTGAAGGGGAATAAACTGGTAGTCTTGCATCCTATTATTGCACCCTGCGGGGTAGGCTGTTATGGGGGATTGAAATAAAACAAGGGTCATCGCAGGAGCAGTGCTGGAATGTCCCAGTGCTAAACGCGTGTTGGTCCCATACACTTGTTTTGCCCCTCCATGGTTGAGAAGCATCTACAACCTGCCTCTGGGAGTGGGCAGCAGAGCCCAGGAGGTTCTTGACTTGTGTCTACTGTTCTGGCTGGAGGGTGACCTTGTGCATAGCATGCATTAGCTCTGGGTTCCTTTCCCCTTCCATAGATGGGGACCAGGTAACAGCCATGGCTCTTACCTCAGGTGTTTTAGGAATGATGCCCAGAAGGCAGGGCCCTCCACTGAATTAGCAGGTAGGTCATCCCTGGCCTCCAGCAACTAAGGAGGCAACTGGGGACAAGGAGCTGAGACCCACTCAGAGGCTTCCTCCTCAGTTCCCGTCTCCCAGGCTTGGCCAATGACCCTGAGGAAGTATTTCCAATGCTGCCAGTCCACAGGCAGGATAAGCTGTGATCTGAACAGGGCATGGCCGTGGGTATGTTTTTAGTGTCTTCTAACCAAGTCTTAGTCCACCTTCTCCTCAGGATGGAGAGGCCGCATACCTCGTTTCAGGGGCTGTCACCCTGCAGTGGCTTTCTTAGTAGCTTGCCTCAGGCCTCTGAGCTAGGCACACGAGAACAAAGGGGCTTTCATCTCTACAGGGTGGCTCTGCAGCAGTCTCCCTGGACCAGCCCGTCATTCAGCGCTTCAGCGGTTTCCTCCTCCTCCTCACAGCTGCCCCGAGGAAGGACAAGGGAGGGTCTGGGCTCTACTTTGTGGGGAGAACTGAAGCCCACCCCAGGATCACATGGGAGGCTGGCAGGAGAGCTGGGGTGGTGCCCAAAGATGGCAGCCTACCTGGGAGAGGTGGCTGCCCCAACCATATGCCGCTACCTCCTTCAACCAGTCCACTTTCTTGAGGGGCAAACCCCACAAGTTTTCTGGGATGCCTGGCTAAAAATAACCTGCTGTGTGAGTGGGCCAAAACTAAGGGAATGAGAATAAGGAATGAGGAGGTGCTAAGGATACACCACCCCGCAGCACACCCAAACATACGACCATCTGATTCTTTCACTGAACTCTGCTCAGTAAGGGTCCCTTAGCCTGGCCTAGAGTCCCCAAATTCCTAGAGGAGAGACCTGGGAGAGCTGCCAAGTGAGAACCAGCTGATACAGGCTGGTAGCACCCAGCAGACTCAAGTGGGCATTTGGCCAGAGCTGGGGAACACTCCAAGGGCACTCCGACCCAGGACCTGGCAGTTGCTGCCCACTTGTCAGCTGAAGGGGTCATATGATGGGAACCAAGAAGAGAAGTAGGAATATAGGGAGGGGGGGTCTAATTTCCTAACACTCCCCATCCCCAAGCATCTTTTAGACACCATATGTGATCACCACTAGGCTGGGAAGTCTCAGGACTCCCCCCTCCTCACCAGCCTTTCCTAGGGATATGTTGGCACAGGCCCCTTCTATCTTAGGAGCACTGGGACTATGGCATCACTCAAGAGTATGGGTTAAATGCCCATCTTGAATGCTGGTGGCGCTTCTCAGGGCCAGGCTCTCTGGCTCTACCACACTGCCTCTCTCTCCTACTTGCCCAACCCCTGAAGGCCCCTTCCCCCACCAGGCAGTAGTGGAGCAGAGGCTGGAAGCTAGACATCCTGCAGAGCGAGGCTGGAGGTGGGCTGCCTGCACTCTGGGCCCAGCACCATCATTAGTTTGGGCCAGAGGCCCAGTGACCAGGCCCCATGTTGTCTCAACCCTGGCTCGGGTCATATCTCAGGCCACTACCCTCTTTCCACAGTCAACTGTGACGCTGGATGGAGGCAAACTTGTCCACGTGCAGAAATGGGATGGGCAAGAAACAACACTTGTACGGGAGCTCGTTGATGGAAAACTCATCCTGGTAAGACGGGCACTTTGGAGCCTAACCCAGTTGGTTACTGCTGCTGCCCCTTCAGCCAAGCCCATTGTAAAGAGCCAAAGTCTTCCCGTGGCAGCACCGGGAGCCGGGACAATGCAGAGTGAAGAGGTGGGGGTGGTGTTAGTGGGAATTTTCTGTGTAGTGCTTTGGACTCACATCTCAGGCTGAGGTTCAAATCTCAGATTATAGGCCGTGTGACTTTGGACATCACCTTCAAGTCCCACTGTAAAAACAGGTACTAGTAACACCACCTCTGTAGGGCTGCTGGGACGTCTGAGTGACACAGTGGATGCAGAGCACAAAGCATCACTGACATGGGAGGAAGACAACGGGTGCTCCACAGCCTGTTTCCTCCTGTGTTGCTGCCTTGTCTCACCCGAGAGGGAAAAAACAGGGCCAGTTCTGACCCCGAGTCCCTAAGAAAGGCTCCCGCCTCCTATCACAGCCTTCCTTTTCCCCCTCCACCCTTGGACTGTACCACATGTAAACCCTGTAGGCAGTGACAGGCTGGGGCACAGACTGACAGCACAGTCCTTCTTTCCTCATTCCAGCCCCAGCTGCTCTCAGTGCCTTTCATGCCTGGCCTATTGCAAGTACCTGAGTAGACAGCTTGGGTAGGAAGTGACAACCAGGCCGGCAGATCTGTCTGTTTAGGGACAAACTTGGGGACTTCAGTCAGAATGTAGACTTGACTGAACACTCCCAGGCCCACAAGCGGAGATAGCAGCCACTCATGGTCTCTACCTCCTAATTCCGTAGGGCCTCAGGTTTTCACTTCAGCATCTTCAAGGCAGACCCTCTTGGGTCAGTGTAACCTGCTCACTGCATTCTTGCACTTACAGAGCAGGGGCCCTGCAGAGTCAAGAATGAGGTGCCTGCCTTTGGTAGAAACGTAAGATACAGGAGTCGCTGGACAGTCGGCTACGGGGAGACCATGGGCCTGGCTCTACGATGGCAGGCTGGGTGGTAGGGGCTCAGGGCTCCAGCCCTGGGCCTACTCCAAGTTAGGGAAGGAAAGAAGAGCTGGTGGCCTGGCACAGTCCTTCCCTAGGAGTCTCTGGATATTTGTATTCACCTATTTGTCTACTACATGTTAGGCACCATCCCACGCATTAAGGGTGAAGGGAGAAGAATGATGTGAGAAAAAGAAACACTCTGGGATCTTGATGAAGTTACTTCCTCTCTCAAGACTCATTTTCCTAAGTCTCTAAAAGTGGGGTTACATGCATAACTTAAAGACCTGGTAGAAGTATTAGAAAAAAGCAACACACGTAAAGTGCTTGGCACATAGCAGGTAGCCAATAAATGAAGACGATTAGGATGAAGGCAGAGGGTTCTCCCCACCAGAATGGAGCGATCTCATGTTTGTGCCCTCAGCCCTGCCCTAATCTGCCTCTCTTTTTCCTTCCAGACACTCACCCATGGCAATGCAGTTTGTACTCGCACTTACGAGAAAGAGGTGTGACCTGCCGGCACCTTCACTGACTGCTCCTCTGCCCCCTGGCTACCCCTGGACTCAGCACCAGATTGCCTCATTTTTTCCTCTGGCATTTTGTATAAATTCACCTCATTTGGGGAAATCCTTCTGGGGCCAGGTGCACCATCCTGGATCCAGTTCCAGTACCCATTGTGTTTGTTTTTCTAACTACATCCAAAGAGTGCTCTGAGGTCAATAAAGCAGAGCCAAGACCACCCGTTGCCTTTTTGCTTTTGGTGACATGACCCCGGGAGTCTCAGTTTCCCTGTCAGACTGGGCAGAAACAGTTGTGTGAAGGTCACTCAGGAAGAAGCACTGGATGAGACTGAAATGGACAGTCTCGGGGACAGTGGTAGCTGACCACCTTACACATACAATAATGTAACAGCTGTACCTATACCTTGCCTTTACTTCCTCTCCATGGCCAAATGAGCTAGTCCATCCTGGAATAATCCATCAGCGGCAGGGCTTCCCTAGGCCTGGCTACTGAACCATCACCTCAGGCCTGTCTGTATTGAATGCTCTTGGGTCTGGGCAGGTGCTCTTCTCTGTGCAGTGCTGCATTCTCTCTCATTCCAGAATGCAGGCTCAGGACAAAGGATCCAGGCTTGTGCCATAGTGGTGGGAGAAAATGCCCACTGGCCTAGATGACTGCTGAGCTCCCACCTATACCTCAGGCCATTACTCAGTTATAAATTCTCACTGGTTCTCTAGTCAACTCTGGGAGAAGAGGTCATCTGAGCACTACAGAAGAGGGAGCTTATGAGTGATCTAAGCACCTGCTAGTACATCTGGCTCTGCGCCTGAGCTGGGCCTCTCCACAGTCCAAGGTAACACATTAAATGGTTTCCTGTCAAGTCATGTAGACTCTGACTTTTAAGTCTGTAAGTTAAGTCTGGGAAGAAGTATTGTAGCAATAAGAACTTTCAGTAAGTTTAAAACCAAACACACTTCCATTTAGTGCCAGGAATTTAAGCAGAAACCTGAAGTGGAACCAATTGACTCGTACAGTAGTAAACACAAAGTAAAGCAATGATCTTGGCTTGCGTCGTCTGGTTTGGTGGCCTGGCAGACTGTCACACACAAGCTCAGTCACTGTGGACAATGGTTTTCTGGCCGCAACCACTGGCTGTAACTTCTAGCATAGTCAAATTACGTTAGGGAAAATGGAAAAAGCGAGCACCACTTCCTACCACATTCTTTTTCAGACTGCCAGTTGCCTATATGCCCCTGTGTTGGTTGGGTGCAGCAGAGATCACCGACCAATCAGCCCAGGGCAAACCACCGCGGAGGGGCCAATCTCTCTGTTCTCCAAATACAAGCCAGACTCACCTCCACAGCAGTAACTGTGGCTCTAGCCTGGACTCCTGTACAGGAATCAGACTCTGGCAGTGGCAGCTGGAGAGGATAATAGAATCTCCTGCCGAATAAAGAAGTTGGGTGAATGGATGAGAGAGCTGCAGGGGTCACTTGCAAATGGACGAGGAGTGACAAGGAGACAACTCATTCAGGCAGATGCTTCTGACATGTAACTCCCAAACCTGTCTGCTGCTTGAGGGGAAGCCATCTCCCATGGGAGAGAAGTCATGGGGTGGGAGGCCACATTCTCACTATTGGGTCTTTTAGGAGCCAGGGCTGCAGGGCACAAGGCTCCTGGTTCCTTCTTCTCTCAACCACCCCCTCTCCTCTTTGCACTCTCACTCCTTGTGCTTCTTCTTGTGTTTCTTCTTCTTTTTCTTCTTCTTGGCTGCCTTGCTGTCTTTTGATGTGTGCCTTGCCCTCTTGCCTGTATCACTCTCAGAGTCTGAGCTGTCAGAGTCAGATGACTTTCTGTCTCTATGTTTCTTTTTCTTCTTTTCCTGAAAAGCATATTAGAAAACTCAACATTGTGTATATATATTTGCTTTTTAAAAAATCATGACATGTAATCAATAGGGGACCACTTAATAAATTATAAAACATTAATTAAAAAAATCTTCAATTATCAATAAGAAAAATGCCCAAAGCAAGTAAAGGATCAAGCCATAATACGGTATGAATTCTAGTTTCTAGTGTATTTAACATACATGTGCATGTACTTATCCACACACACATACATGCATAGTATACAATGTGTGTATATATACATACATTTACATATACCTGTATATATTTACAATACACAGAAAACAACAGAAAGCACACAAAGTAGAAGTATCTCAGGAATGTATCTAATAAGGAAAGACGGGGTCTTTCATTTTTTACTTCATATAACTCTGTCCAGTTCGAATTTTTTAAACATTTATTACTTTCATCTTTAAAAAGCACAGATATAAAAGCTAAAAGGAGTCCTTAGGGATCACCTAGTCAATCTAGAGACAGCGCTTCACATGCCCAAGGTCACAGGATGAGAAAGTAATAATAGATTTAGGACTCCTGACTCCCAGTCTGGTTTCTATTAGACCCCATGGCCAGAGTAAATAACTGCCACCAGTTAATAAGGCTCTACCTGCTGCCCCTGAATATTTATCATTTCTAACCTTCACAACAACTTTACAAGATTATATGATAAAGAAAAAACTTCAGAAAGAGTTTTCTGAAAACTACCCACTATACCATGCTGCCAGATAGCAGCACAAACTCATACAAAGGATGGGAGGCAGATACCCAGGCTCTGGGCAGTTTTTAAGCTTTACACAGACCTTCTCCTTAAATTTCAAATGTTTGTATTGCCTTAGTGAGGTTTCTAAGAAGAAAGATTATGCGAAGAGAAAGGAACAGCAGCAGAGGGTGAGGCTCCTGCTCCTATAGGCTTTCAACGAGCATCCTGAAAGCTGTAAGTCTGCCTGAGTGATGCACCAGGTCTTAGAGGCTGGCTGTGACAAATGGTGGACAGAACACCAAAGCAGGTAGCACACACAGACCTGAACTCTGGCTTTACCATTACTATTCTGTAATCCTGGGCACACTATTTCACCTTACTAAGTTTCCTCCACTGTGAAACAGGGGGGCGGGGGCGCGGAGGAAGGAAAGGGGGGGAGGGGAGAGAAAGAGGGGTCATGTGGTTGTGATTAAGATTTAATGGGACAGAGACAGTATCCGCGGCTGGAGAAGTTGACAGCCACTTGCCTCAGATAGCACAGGCAGGCTGGGATCTGCCTGCAGATCACAGGACTGGAAATCTCCTGAATTTTCCGCTGTAGCACACAGCCCCTCTCTATATATAGTGCTGGCAGGCCTCGTGGTATGATCAGAAGAACAATTTTGGAATAAGAAGTAAGTTCAAATTCCAATTTTACCACTTACTAGCTGTGTGACTTGGAACAAGAAACTTAACTTTTTTGAACCTTAGTTTTTCTTTTCAGTAAATTGCACATAATATCTATTTCAAAGGATGCTATGAGCATTAAATATAAATTCTAATTATAGTGCCTGATATATGGTAGACACTCAAGGGTAGCTAGAAGTAATGCATTATTTTCTCATTTCAGAGAAATCCAGAATGTTCTGACAATCTGGCTATGCATCTATGGCAGATAAGTCAAAATTCTGAGAGGCAATTAAACCAAAATTTTTTTCTTGGAGTCTCCAATGGAGTAGAAAGAGGGGAAGCTTCCTAGGTCCACATTACCTATAGGAACCATGGCTGGGAGGAGCTGAGAGCTGGCAACTCATTGGTCTGGCCCACGTTACTGCACCTTCCTGGGTGGCAGGAACATGGAAGCCCATCACAGGCTATGTGGGCTTGGGACTCTCAACAGGTTCTGTCCCTTAGATAAGGCAGGGTTCTGGGGAGGGAAATAAGCATAAATGCTGAGCCTGGCCCAGCCTGGGAAAATGAGGAAGGAAAGTAATTATGCTCCTTACATCTAAGTAGCACTCTAGTTCATCAAGTTCTCTGCATCCCTTATCCTATTACAACTTGCTAAGGTCAAAATTCAGGAATTATTAGTTCCATTTTGCAAACGAGAAAATGGCAACTCAGAAAAAGTACATTAAGTGAGTTGATGCACACTGTCATGATAAGAATGTGGTACTTTCTTACTCAGAGTTGGGCATTATTTCCATTTTGCTCTCTCTCAAAGATGCAGGCTCAGGAGAAGAAAAGAGAAAAGCAAATCAGTTGACAACTTTGGCGTGCCAGGACGTGTACTCGACTTAGCAAGAACTCCCTAGACTTCAATCTTGACACAAAAGCTCTTTTGCAACTCTGAGCAAAGAAAATCTAGTCCTCTAGCAGATAATACCATTTTCATTGTGTGTCTAACTTTTCAGCCAGAGAACAAAGAACAATCACCTCAGAAGTTGCAGTTCAAAAGGAAAGTTGGGAGTTGCAGTGGAAAAGGATGGACAGCCGATTGTGAAACTACCTTCTGGTCACTCAACTGCATTCAAGGGAGAAGAGAAGATAAAGGGTAAAGAAATGACCCAGAGATGTGACCCTTGGCAGGCAGGCCAGGAGGGACATGGTAAAGAAGCCATGGCTCAAAAGCTCTCTAGGAAAAACCACACACCTCGGGCCACATCAGCTAGCCCACCCGTTTTCCCTGCAGTTCTGAAACAGGATACCAGCAACCCAGTGTAAGAGAAAAACAAAATCACAAACTGAGAAAGGGGAGTAACAGCAACTAACATTTATTGAGTACATACTTTTCTAGATGCTGAATTTGACACTTTTCACACATTCCTCATCTAACCTTCACAGCAAATCTATTAAGTAGACATAATTTTCCCTATATTTTCAGAAAAGAAAACTATAACTTCAGAAAGGTTGACTGAAATAAAGTGACTTGTCCAAGCGGTAGAACCCGTATTGACTCAGGCTGGGTCCCAGTGTGGATATTCTTTTTAGCTCTGTCTAGATGATAGGCAGTATCTAACTTAGTACTTCCCAACTAAAAGGCACTTATTTGGGCAGAAATCAAGCAAACAAGCACTTACTATTTTTATTTATTCTTAAGAAGTATTCTTTTTTTTAACTAATTTTATTTATTTTAGAGAGAGAGAAAAGGAGAGAAACATTGATTTGTTATTCCACTTATTTATGCATTCAGTGGTCCTTCTTGTATGTGCCCTGACTGGAGACTGAACCCACAACCTTGGCGTATCTGGATGACATTCTAACCAACTGAGCTACCTCGTCAGGGCTAAGAATTATTCTTAAGAAATGACTGATTCTCAAGAGATGATCTGACTCTCAAATTGATCTCTAGGATGAATTTTTGGGAAATAGGATAGAGGGTAATTCCTGGCCACAAGTTCCCACAGGGCACCAGTTTATCATAGACTGGAAAAGGTAAGACCACAAAAAAAGTTTTATTAATCAACTCACAAATATTTACTGAACTTTACTACCTACACAGCACTTTAGAGACCCACAGTTACATACAATGTTTCTTAGGAGAACACACAGATTTTTTAATAGAATTCAGACAAACAGAGAGTAGTATTTGCACTAGTAGGAGATGCAAAGTAAACACATTCATTGAGTGGAGCCTGGCACCATTCGTCCAAACCTAAGCCAACCTCGTCAAACAAGGGAAATAACTCCTTACAATCACACAGTACCTTTATTCCACAAATATTTGTTGAGTACCTTCTACGAGCCAGAAATATCTATTAGTTAACTTGTGTTTTTTATAATAGCTGAATGAGGTCAGAAATTAGGGACCAGGAGCTTAGAAGGAACAAATTATCTAAGCAAGGAAAAAAATAACTAATTAAGATACTAGGCAGTCCATTGAAGTGATGTAAGAAAAGTACAAAAAACAGGCTTTGGACACACAAGGGAAAGAAATCAATTATGTCCAAGGACTCTGAGGATGGCTGCATGGAGGACAGGTATGTGTGGTGCTCTCGAAGGATGAATATGGTTTTGGCGGGTGGAGTGGTGGTGGCGGTGCTGTCGGACGAAGGGAAGCACGGGCCTTCCAGCCAAAGGGAAGACGGAATGAGACAACCGCTTGAAAGATCTTTCAAGAGTGACAAATTATCTCATGTGGCTTATTAATCATGTACTGGATCCCATCCCTTCTCTCCTACTCAACATCGGTCCAGGAATTGTCCCTTCTCTTGTGCATCAATTTTCCCCTTTTTACTGGCTCATCCCTAAACAAAAAACAAACAAAAACCCTCCTGAACAATTTTAACCAGGTTGTTACCCCACCACTCTACTGAAACAGCTCTTGTCAAAGTTACCAATCACCTCCCCATGGCCAGGTCTGTGGTCAATTCTTGGGCCACATTCCACCACATTCTCTTACTTTTCTGCTGACTTTCTGGCTGTTCCTTTTCAGTCTTCTTTGCTGGTTCAGTTTCTAGAAGCTGGAACACTCTAGGGCTCAAGCCCTCAAACCCCTTCTCTTCCCTGTATTTACTCTCCAGGTGATCTCATATATGAACTTAAATACCATCTATATATGTAGATGACTCCCAAATTTATGTCTTTTTTAAGTATAATTGACTTATAATATTATATTAGTTTGAAATGCACAACACAGTGATTCGATATTTATATATATTATGAGGTGATAACCATGATAAGTCCAACTACCTTCTGTCACCATACAAAGATGTTACATTATTATTGATTATATTCTAGGTTTATCTCTTACCTGGGCCTCTCCTTAACTCTGAACGATACATCCAACTGCCTCCTCTATACCTCCATGTGGATATCTGACAGGCATCTCAACTCCTACGCCTTGCCCCTCCCAAACCTACTCTCCTCCAGCTTTCTTTCCCTTCTTCATAGACAGCAATTCAAAACTAAGCCCCACTCCCATACTTCTGCATTCCTTCTCCTCTTAACTCAAATCTTCCTGTTAGTCATCTTTAACTGTTCTCTTTCCTACCTCATATCCAATCACTCTGTCAGCTC